TTTTTTTTCGTTTATAGTTCAGTTGTATTTGATTGTACTCGTTTGTAGAGTTGTTTCGTCTCATTTTTTGAGTTATTTTGTTACGTGGTTATTTGTTGTTGTTTGTTCATGTCCATTTTTTTTTTTTGGTACAATGTTCATGTCCAATTTGATTTAATTTGGAAACGTGTGCATGCAATCAATCAATGCGTACATTTAAAACGTTTTAATGAAGATATGCATTAAAAGTTCTCAATTTTATTTATTATTATTTTTAGAAATTTTATTTTGATTTAAAGAAGATGTGCACTAAATGTTCTCGATTTTATTTATTATTATTTTTAGTAAATTTTATTCTCTTTATATATGTATCATAGATATGGATATAAATTTGTAAGTTATATGTTCATTGACATAATTATCTCCCTTGGAAAAAAAAAAAATTGGAGTATCTATACTTATATAAAAAGACATTCTTTACTAGAATTAGTAGTAAAAAAAGTCAAAAGTAATTAATGCATTCTATTTCCATCAATTATTTTATTTAATTATTTTAATTAATTATTTTGTCTCATAACACCTTCTCAATACAACTTACCATGATTTTTCTATTGCGATTAAAAACCAAATTTTACGTTTAAAATCTTGTGAAATTATTATTATTATTTTTATAAAGCACATATTATTTGTTAAAAAATTGTATATATATAATACACATCACAGTATCATGGTAGATGATTTAAATTTCAACCGACCAAAATATCAATAATTTAAATTTGAACACACCTATGCGTTTAGCCAAAATGTCTGGATGATTTAAAATTGAGCCATAAAAAATTATTTAAATTTGAACACACCAGAAATTTTATGTACTTTTTATTTATAAATATATTGAAAGTGATATTTAATGGCGGTTATATAAACTATTTTAATATATTTGCAATGAATAAAAGTTTGAATGAATAATTTGTAATGTTATTCATAATGTTTTGTGACTTATGAGACACGAACACATAACTACATACATATTTGTCATAGGACGGATTAATAATTTTTTAGACTTAAGATTGATTAAAAGAGGCAGAAAATAAATAATAACATTATTATTTTTTAGACTTAAACGAACTGAACTCATTTAATATGTTTTTCTAGCACGGGGTACCTACTAGTTTCTAGTGCCGTCAACAATCTCACGGACTCACGGTGCGACAAAATCACATCGCCGTTGAATTGACCAAATTGCAATTTCACGGTTGAGGCAGGTGATCGACATGGATGCCGGCGCCACGTCCCGCGTCTCACCTTCTTCTTCTTCTTCGTCGTCCTCGTTCGAGTCTCAGGTGGTGCAAGCTCTTGGCACTCGAGGATGGCGTTTCAGAGACTTGGACCAAATTCGAGGGCTTATCGACGCTCAGTCACCCACCTGCACCGCCGATTCTATTGAATCGGAGCTCCTCAATATGGACTTGCGATCAATTGGCGGGAAATGCTTGCCCGAGCCTTCTGTTCTGCGCAAGATCTCTCACCTTCAAGGCCCCATTGTCCTTCAGGTACTCTTTTCTCTGATGCCCTACCTGTATGAGCCCAGATTATCCTATGAACAAAGCGCCTAATATCGGTATAATGGCTCGTATGCTATACTCTGAATGAATTTTGTGTCTTCGTCTGATGCTTATTGCTGATGAAGTTACTTTGTTTGAATTCTCGAGAGTTCATTTCTGTTCAGATAACATATTCATGAAGTTGCAATGACGAGACGAAATAGCTATTGTGAGATTCTAATTTATTGAGAAATGGGGTCATTTATCCGGTAGCTGTGTTTTTATTGTGAAGGTTTGCTCGTGTCGAGATATATCTCGGAGTTCTGTAGCTGATGCTTCAGGAAATTCGGGCGGCCGGCGTTTGTTGAAATTGAAGCTTACGGATGGACATTCAGAAATAAGTTCTGTAGAGATCTCTCATGTGCCGTCAATTCCTGATGATATTAGCCCTGGGACTAAGGTCTAATTTTGTTTGACTATTCTGAAACTATTTTTGCCAGTTGTATTTTCATGTTGTACAATTGTTAGGTTGCTACTGATTCAAATAATCAGCTGGACTTTTGGGCCTGCCAGAAAGTTTCGCTGTAAAGTAAAATGCTAAAATAGGGAAAACTTGTAAGATTTCAAACAAGATGTGTAAGGTGGTGTACGTTAACCTAATAGTACATAGAAATGACATGGTTTTTAGCAATTCCCATGGCTAATCGATCAAAGTACAGAGATTACATGAAATTCTTCTTCTCTCTCTCTTTTGAGTGGAGAGATTACAAATTACAGTAAATGAAATGTATTTAAGAAAATTTCCGAGTGATTTTGCTGATGAGCATAAATAATAAAAAGATACAAAAAATTATCATATGTTCTGTCAAATCGTTAGAAGAGTTGCAAATGCATTGGCCATGGCTCTAGCTTTCATATGAATTCTGTAGATGCCGTAGATCTTTTCATCTTGACTCATGAGCTTTCTCAAACCTTTGTTGGTCATATCAATTCCTTATCTGACGATGATGAGTTGGTCAGGTACACCACAAGACACTAATATGCATTAAAAGGACAATATGCACATACTAAATATAAATATAGGGTGTGTGTGTGTGTGTGTGTGTGTGTGTTGAATATTTCCACTAAATGTGATCTATGTGGAGAGTTATGTGTACTGTTGTCTTCATAACTCAAGTTTGCTAAACAGTATTTAGTGAACTAAAATGAAAAACAAATTATATTTTTGCCAATATAAATTGTCTTCTACTGAATGGCATTGCTAATCATCATCTTGGAATCAATATTACGCCATGGAACCTAAATGACTCATAATGAGACTGTGTTTGTGAAATTTGACTATTCACAACCAGTTTATTTCAATTGATCTCTAATGGCTGAATTAACTATAGAAGTAGTTGTTCTCAGGAGGAAAGTTTAATTATATTAGAAATTTGAATGCCAACATTAATGACGCAATGTTCCTGCGCCCCGTACATTCTTGGTATTGACAAGCAATCGGCCCAGAACAATTCTTTATTAGATCTGTTCCCAGGCAAGTTAGATTCTGATGTCATTTTTGTTCTGTGGTATAGGTTTTTGTTCAATGAGTGATAGTTGTACCAGTTAACTTATTTGTTTCATGTCATGAGGCAACACGTGGGAGCTTATACTTTTGAAGTGCAAGGTTGGTGTATAATGATGTCGGAATCTGCAAACAATTTTTTGTTATTGTCTGATGTGCTGTATTCATAGTATTTACCATTTAGACGGCTACTCATGTCTCTGTACTTAGGTCATTATTTAATTTTCTTGTTTGCTTGAATTTCCTAGGTCCGGCTGGTGGGTAAAGCTGACATCCATAATGGTATCTTGTGTTTGAACAAAAAAGTTATCACCATTTTAGGAGGTGTTGTTCAGTCACTTTTTGAAGAATGGCAACTGAAGCGCAAGTACATGAATGTCACCCGTTATGCCTCCAGAGTTTCACAAGAAAGTGAATCGAATTATCCTCCTCCTTTTGAAAAGCTTCAAATTGGGGCATCTACTCGAGGAACTACATCTACCCCACGCACTTATGGAAATAAAGGACATTACTCGTCCAATGCTACAGGTTAATAATCAATATGCATCTACTTCTCCATCTGAAATTCATGTGTCCTACAAAAGCTTTGTAAACACCTTTGTCAAATTATACAACAACCTAGTATTTTCTGGTTTTACTTTGGATATTTAAAGCAACATTTTGTACATCTTATCATTGGAATTATTTTCATTTTTCCCTCTACTGGAAGTCAGTATAGGCTCTTCCACAAGGACAAAAATGTAAATAAGAGATATGCTCATATATGCATCCATTTTCTGAATCACAGGGTCTTCTGAGGCCTCCTCAAATGACTCCAGACAAACTCTGGTTTCTAAAAGTGAGCCGAGTCGGATTGTTCAGCTCGAGAAACACAACGCAACCGAGGATAGTGTAACTAGTGATGCCAAGAAGCTTGATGATGGTGGTGATAACACCGAGAAGCCGACCTGCTCCTCAACAAGACCAAAAGGTGACTTAAGCTCAGCTAAATTGCATGTGTATCATATGAGAATCCATTGTGATGCTTGAAAATGTGTGTGAGTTCAAAAGGAAAATTACAGATTATGAAGGTTAATGTGAGATGCACATCAGGCACAAAATGGATTCTGTGAAAAATGAAGATTAAAGAGTGATTTGACAACGCTTCCTGAGGCATGAGGTCATCGAGGCATTGATTGATATATATTGTGAACAGTTGTTTATATAATATGTGAAATTGTGAGAGTATTTATGTATATATACATATTCATTTATAGTATATTCTTACTGTGATGAGTTTGAGGGCTTCTCAGGGAGTCTTGCCCTTCTAAATCATTATGCATTATCACATGCATGTGCTTGTTGGCCTTAATCATAAAAATCTAATTAATGCAGTTCTAGCTCAAGGTTTAACATCATATTAAGTTAAAGGGTCAATTTGTGTGCGAGCATCCTATAATAGAGATGATAACTAAGGATACAAAATAGGAATGACTCAGAAGGAAGAGAAGTAATCATGATGGGGCTCATTGTCTTTTTAAAAGCTGCTTTATGATTATATTATTTTACTTTTTCGATGTAATTGATAGTAAAATATCTGCATCTAGGCGTATTTATGATTACTAGTAACTAAATATCAGTTTCGGTGATATAAGAATAGCATTAAGTTCACGACAGCGACAGTAACTGATCTATGAATGATCAAAGAAAAAGGGAATGGAAAATCTAGGTATCACACTTTAATATCTTTTGACTTTGAAACTCTAATCTATGTTCTTCAGTGTGATTCAAGATGGTGCTACATAATTCCTATTCCTTTTTGGTCTTATCCAACCTGATGACAAATTAATTTAGCTTCAGGGTTTGGGTATCTTAGCAGTAGTATGCTTGATGGTAATTTGGTAGAAGAATATTAAACCGTATGTCCTGCTCAGGGAAGAAAGCAAGTCAGTAGAATATAGTCACAGTTTTTTTTGGTAGTTCTAGTGGTGGAAAAGAGGCTGCCACAAGGATTTTTAAGTTGATGTGATAACTTCTCAAATGTCAAACAGTAGTCTTTTTGCATGCATACCTTTTCTTTTTTCTTTATACATACATATATAGCTTCACGTTTTTGTCCTTACCGATCATTAACATTTGGATCCCTCAACTTTAGAAGTTAATAAAAAAAAGTAAAGGAAAAAAAGAGCAATAAGAAAATAAAGCAACCAAATTATGAAATAGTAAATATAATATTTTGTATGGTCTTGGATGATACTTACGATGATCTATTGTTCATTCATTAGATTTGCACTTTTAACCTGTTTCCCGAACTTAATAGTCGTTACAGTTCAAAGGCGCATAGAAATTTAACTCTATGATGGTTATTTCCGACACATATGTTGCAAGTAATACATCCGAGAATGTCTTGCAGTAACTGCAACTGCAACTGCACCTATTCAGAATCAAGCGGCTGCCCAGAAACTTCTCCAGAAAGCAAGCCAACCGAATCCTAAAGATCGCAGTTTTAGAAACCAGAGGCATAGGGGAAAGTTTAAAGAGGAAGATCCACATGTCCTCACTCTAGATGAATGGGAAAGGCAGAAAACTGGAGTTGATCTTACGAAAACACATGAACACATTGATGTCAGTCGAGATGAGGATCTCGCGAGAGTGCTTCAGAAGCAATTCGAGCTAGAGGATATTCATGTAATTTATTTGTCTTTTAATATATATATATATATATTTTTTTTTTTTTTTGGCTAAAAATGCTCTCTCATGTGGGAGTACACTTCTCTTTATTGTTAATAAAGTGACGATATCGTTAGTTCACAAACGTTTTATCTTTACCTTTATAAATTGTGCAGGCACAAAAGGATCCACTTGTGGTGGACCCTGAAAGTATAAAGATGAGCATGTTCAGTTTCGAAAGGAATGATGCCAGAGCCAACGCTGGAACCGAGTTTAGGGGTCGAGGGAGAGGAAGAGGAAGAGGACGGCGAAGAGGAGGCCGTTACTGATTTGTGTGTGTGTGTGTGTGCGTGCGCTTGCTTCTTATACTTGTATTTGAATCTTGGTTTTGCAGATCTTGGAAAGATAGTCAGTTATTATTAGCCCCCTAACGTCCTAAGTTTGGGCAGGTAACATGGATGTTCTCATGCGTTTTGGTTTGCTAAACGACAGGAATAATGGAATATATGTCACTATATCTATATCTCGATTTTGCTATAGAGCCAACAGTTGGCTCCATAGTGGAGCTAACCTTCTATATACAACAAATAAACCTACCACATTCTCTAATTACTTAAATAACATTAATATAATTTTATTAATATGGTAAGTTTATTTGTTGTATATAGAAGGTTGGTTCCACTATGGAGCCAATTGTTGGCTCTATAGCAAAACCGATCAAGTTTCAAATAAGTAAATTCTAACTTTCTATTTTTAGTATAAATATTTTTGCAAAAAAAGTGACATTTATATATTTGACATGATATCTATAATTAAATTCCTTCTAATTTACTTTTTACTCCTGGTTATGAATAGTGTTCTAATCGAACCGACTACGCGTTCTTTCGATTTTGTTCGATACTTTTTTTTTTTTTTAACAATCCACATACAAAATGATTTTGTTCTAAAAGTTTGGCTTTATGAATAATTTTTCGACAAAAAACAAATATCAAAATGAAATAGAAAAACGTAAAGATGTGTACAATGTCTCCATTTACATCAACCGTAGAAGATGAATACTCCGGCGAGTCGATTCCGATGTGAGATTTCTGGTGGAGTTCATCGGTGCTGCAGTTTAGACGGAGCCATTTAATAGCAACCAATTTAGAAAGGCCAACTCACCTCCTCCTATCACTTGTGTGAGAAAATAAACGAAAACCCAAAAAATTTAATAGTTACAAAATTTGATAAACTAGAGAGGGTTAAATTTTTACATTTGATAAACAAAATTGTTGCAATATTTCATTTTTAAAATTTTATTTAATCCGATTCTCCTTTATCGTGTATATAATGTATGATTATTTTATCATATTCTTTTCATCAAACTTAATGTTATTATTCTTTTTTTTTTTAAAAAAAAAAAAGAAAAAAAATTTCACTAGTGTAGGAATATTATTATATATCCTTTACTTTTACTAACTATTTATAATCATATCAATTTAAATGTTTTTACACATTTTTCAGAACTATTTTTTTTTGTAATCTTACATATGTTAATTAATTGCGATGAAACAATAAGGTTATTTTATGGAACCAGACTCAGAGTAATAAAAAATTCATATAAAAGTTTTCATGATTATTTTTCGTATCCGTTTTAGGTCTATTGTGAACAAAATCATAGAAATATATAATTAAAATTCAACTATAATTACAACTTTAATTTTATTTACCGTGTACTTATTAGTACTACTTCTATAATATGTAAATGGGGAGCCAACTCTACAAATGAAAATAACTTTCATTAATCACAATATTAGATCTGAGATTAAATATGTGTAGACGATACATCCAATCATTATATTATTTAGCCAAATTAAGTGATCAAGTTGTTATATAGATATATTAGTTACTGATCAACTTAATTTAAATTGTGGAATGATCAAATTTGAACGCTCATCAAATAATAATATTAAACTTGAGTGACCTAATCAGCAAATATTTTGGGTCAAAATTAATAATGGTCGGAGTCCCAAAAAACCGTGATAATTAATTAAAAAATGGCCCATGGATTTCTTCATTAAGATACAAAGAAGAAACCGCACCCCCCTCTCTTCATCAGTTTTCTTCATTACGTCAGAAGAGGAGAGAACACGTTTCACGACGGCTTTTGAAAATTCTTCAAATCCAAAATCTCAAATTTGAGTTTCAAAGAAAATAATTAATTAAGATGAAAATACCAGGTACGCTTTCGCTGTTTAATTTGATCAAATATTCTCGATTATTCAATATGAACGCTCCTGAATTAAATTAAGCTATGTTATTTCACATAAAATTAAAATTCCATCACACAAGACAAGAGATATATCTCGAATCATGCTTACAAACAAAGGTATCTTCAAATACCATATTATTATGTGAAGCAATCCCAAACCTTAAACAAACATTGAAACACAAGACAGAACAAAAGCATTAATAATTTGTGAAACGATCAAAATGCTAATTAACAACATGTAAAATGTTATCCAACACCTCAACTAACTGAACATGGGCCGTGAGATGAGGGAAATGACCTTCCGTGTCGATAATCTTCACCGTAGGTTTCCCCTTAATTTTCCTTTGCATGTACTCGGGGACCGATTTTGGGACGACGACATCACTCCTCGTCTGGATGATGTCACACGGCTTCTCCACTTTGTCGAGAATGTCTCTGTAGTCGCCCAGGAACACGGTTTTCGCGAGGGACAGTGTAACTTCAGGCTTCATCCTTTTCAGACATTTGCTGAACTTGTCTGCTGACGTGGGATCACTTTTGTCCACGGCGAGATAGGGGAAGTTTGAAGACCAAACCTCGAAATTCGACTCGATGCTCGTGAACATGTTCTCTATGTCCGATAACTCGAAGCCACCTTCGTAGTCTTCACTATTTATTAACCTGCATGACAAAATCAGTACTCATATATGAGAGTTGGGCTGTTGAGCTGTTAAACGAAATGAGCCGCTCGTGAGCTCGAGCTCCCTTAAAGCTCGTTTCGCCAACGGCGATAGCGGCAGGCAATATATATATATACATATATATATATATATATATTATGGATTAATTCATCCAATTCATAGACTTTGGGATCTAGATGCAAATTTTCAAAAGCAAATAATTAAATGAAAACAACACACACACACACACACACTCTATAATACTATATATAAATTTAGAACAATAAATAAACGAAGTCAACTAAAATTAATAAAATAAATAAAAGCCTACTGAGAGAAAAAAAAAATAAAAAAAAAAGAACGTACCTTGGTGAAGCTCCAAGAAGCACGAGCCTAGTGAAAAGCTCGGGCCTTTTAATGGAGGCGATGCACCCAATTATACCCGACATGGAGTGACCGACCAACACACACGACTCTACCTTCATCTCCTCCAACAAACCGATCAAATCCACCGCATAACCATCGTATGTACTGTGCCTGTGATCGAACCACGTATCCACGTTTCATTGCAAAATGTATAGAAATGGTTAACGAGACTGTAGCATTTTCGCCAAATTAGATATAACATATACATACAACAATACTAATAATAATAATAATAATAATTTAATTAGAGATATAGATGGAAAAAGGAAAGCAACCTAATGGGGTCATAGAGAGTGGGGTCGAGGACGGCGCCGGAAAAACACCAATCGAAGAGGACAATGCGGTGGTTGGCGGCCATGTGAGGGAGGATCTTGTCCCACATTGACTGGTCGCCGCCAAAACCATGAGCCAAGACTACGGTTTGGGTGCCGGAGCCAAGGGTTCGGGCGTTCATGGCTGTGGCCAAATCCTTTACCATCACCATTTACTTTTTTTTTTTTTTTTTTTTTTTTTTTTTTTTGGGTATTTATTTGGCAAAGTAAAGTAAAACAAGAGTTAGCTATGTGCCTGTGCCGTTTTGCGGGCTACCTTGTTTATATAGAGAATAAAATGCCGGCATTTACAATTAAAATTATGCTTATTTTTATTTAACACAAAAATGTAGGTATTATTCGTAGTTAATCAAAATAAATTCTGGTCGAAGTCGATAGCATGAGTGTGGTGCGAATGGCGATGGAGGATTCAACAGAGAACCTCGGTGTTCATGGTAATTTGGTACGGGCGATTAGGGAACTACTTAGCAGAGAATGGGAAATTACTGTGAGTCATTGTTATAGGGAGTCCAACTTTGCAGCCGATTGTTTGGCGACCCTAGCTCATCACTGTCCCAGTGGGTATCAACGGCTTCAAAATCTGCCGTCGGCAGTTCGACCGTGGCTACAGCATGACATTGTGGGCATTGCTTATCCACGGAACATTATTGTCTAACGGTCTTTAGGCGTTTTGCCTCCTTCTTTGTACCCAAAAAAAAAAAAAAATTAAACATACGAACAAGGATTGACTCAAGTGGTAAGCAGCTTGATGTCGCTTAAGCAATGTCGGGTTCGAGTTCTTATGAATGCAGAAAACACTTGTTGGGAGACTCACCCACCATTGCCCGATATGCGACCTGGGTCGACCAACGGATTAGTCGGGACAAAGCTCCGTGTCTGGCTACCAAAAATAATAATAATAATAATAATAAACATACATAAATTATGATAGTTAAAAAAATAATTTTATGTATAATATATGGAAAATTAATAATAAATTAAAAATGTTATATTTTTAAAATATATTTATAATATGGTCTCAATTGACATGGATAAGCTAAAATAAATAGCCCTAACACATAAGTTTGACACTTGAACAATAAAAAGAAGTTGGCAATAAAAAGGTACGCCTTCTCACCACAAATCTTGCCTATTAATGGGTTCTTCTTTTGTCTGAAAAAAAAAAGAAAAAAAAAAAAGATTCTGATTTTCAAGCGTTGAATCTTAATTTGTACATGATATATAAGATCTTACTCGACTCATGTGATCAAGATCCATAGAAGAAGGGATGTGGCTTCGTTCCAAGGGTTTGGGCGAAAATGGGTTTTTTTATACTTTAATGTTTTTTTATTTTGGATAGTAATAAAAACTAGTACAACACCCGTGTATTACACGGGTGCTTGTTAAAAAACTATTCTTAAATTTTAAAATTAATGAGAAAACTATATTAAATTTAGTTTACTTTTTTACAAAAAAA